GACAGCAATGAGGATAGCCATGTACACTTTCTCGTAAGCCGACAAACCTTGGTTCTTGGGGCCGAGAGCTCGACTAAGGAAAGCGAGTGGATATCCCTCCTGAAGGAGCACAGCACTAACCCCATAGTGAGAAGCATCAGTCTCAATGCAGAACTGGCGCTTGAAATCAGGCAGTGCCAGAATGGGAGCTGAGCACAAACACTTCTTTAGAGTTTGGAATGTTGTCTCATGTTCAGAAGACCAAACGAACAGAGAGTGTTTCTTCAACAACGTTGTTAGTGGCTTTGAGATGACTGCATAATGGCGAACGAAACGGCGATAGAAGCCTGCAAAGCCAAGAAAGCTACGAAGCTCTTTGACTGTAGTCGGCGTTGGCCAGGATACCACTGCCTCAATTTTAGCTGGATCTGTAGCCACACCTTTGGAACTGATGACATGACCCAAATAAGAGATCTCAGTTTGCACGAACTTGCACTTGGATAATTTGATGCGCCACTGATCTTTGGCTAGCAAAGAAAATACCAGACGCAGATGGTTGATATGCTCCTCAAAGGTCTTGCTATAAATGAGTATATCATCAAAGAAGACAATAGCACACCGTCGGAGGCAAGGTTTTAGAGTACTGTTCATGGCGCCTTGGAAAGTGCCGGGCGCACCAGAAAGTCCAAAGGCAATGACCTTGAATTCATAATGGCCCACATGAGTGGAGAACGCAGTCTTATGCTCTTCACCTTCACGCAACCGTATCTGGTGATAGCCTGATAGGAGGTCCAGAGTGGAGAAATACCGGGCACCCGCGAGCTCATCCATCAATTGTTCAAACACTAGGATAGGGAATGCAGTCTTGACAGTGAGGGCACTGAGGTAGTGATAGTCCACACAAAATCTCCAGGAGCCATCCTTCTTACGTACTAGCAACACAGGCGAGTTGAATGGCAAAGTGCTAGGTTGTATGATTCCCTGTTGCAGCATAGATTCAACCTAAGATTCAATCTCATCCTTGAGGGCTGGTGGGTAACGGTATGGTCGCACTGTGATAGGACTAGCACCTTCAATCAACGGTATCACATGGTCATAGTCCCTCTTGGGCGGTAGTTGGTCAGGTGGACAAACCACTAAAGGAAACTCGTCCAGTAAGACACTGATGGCCTGAGGTAACTGAACCTTGGCAATAGTGGGTTGCTGAGTGACACTAAATAGCTGCACTAACAGTTCATCATCCACAGTAACTCCCAATGGTAGATTGCCCTGTAACCTGATAGTTGTACCCTTGTAAGGGATGACCAACCAGCGATGCAACCAATCCACCTTCATTAGACTGAAAAGCTGCAACCAATCCATGCCTAGGATAATGTCATAGTGTGTGATGGGCAAGACCTTCAAATCATGAGTAAACTGATACTGCTAAATACTCCATACTGTTGCCGGCAATTGAGCAGAACATTGCATAAGCTCACCATTGGCTACTTTGATAGCTAGTGAAGGGCACTGAACTGGGTTGACAGACAATTGAGACAGTAACTGTTGACTGATGAATGATGTGGAGCTACCTGAGTCCAGTAGGATCAAGACCGGCTGCTGCTGAAACTTGCCTTGGAATTGCAATGACTTTACCCCAGATTGTGCTACAGTGTTAGAGGATAGACAGCAATAGGTTTCTTCCGGCTCCGGCTCATCATCGCCATCTGGTGTCGGACAGTCTACAGTGTCGTCAGAGAAAAGAGCGTAGAGCTCATCCAGTACATGGAGTCCCACTTGCTGCGCACACTTGTGGTCACGATTCCACTTCTCTCCGCAGTGATCACACAATCCACGGGCACGCCGGTAAGCCTTGAGATCAGCCAGCTTCTTGTCCAGCGATTTCTAATTCAGAGCGGACTTGTCCGCCATCCCAGCTTGCACATGATCTTGTCGGGGAGGAAGGGGGTAGCCAGCCTTCTGATTCCATGGTTTGAAGTCACGTTTCCTTGATGACTCCACAGCCTCTTCCTGCAACAACGCCAAAGTATACGCAGTATCCAGAGAATCGGGGCGCTAAATAAGAATGACAGCATGAATTTCGGAATGTAAGCCATCTAGGAAACGAGTGATGTAATGCAGAGCGCTGGTATTGGCATCATAGGCTTTGAGGTGGTCAACTAGCTCAGAGAAACGATCAACATAATCTTGGACATAAGATATTTGGTGGATGCAGTTCATTTTGCGAAGGAGAAACTCATGTTGATCGCGATCAAAGCGGGTATGCAAGGCTTGATAGAATTCAGACCATTTCATGGTCTTCGGCTATTCGGTCACAGACTGAATCCAGCGCTTTGCAGGGCCAAGGAACTACATGCGAGAGCATTGGATCCAAACGGAAGGATCAACCGAGTACATCTCAAAGTAATCCTCAGCGCATGTAATCCAGAATTTAAGATCGGTGCCATCAAAGGTTGGGAATGTCATTTTTGGGAGCTTGCCAGTGGGGTTATGGTGGTGCTCGGGTGGACGGTTGTGGGATAACACTAAGTCATATGCAGTGCCATGAATCTTAGGAGGATTTGCAGGGGAGGTGTCCATACCCGTGACCGGGGAATGAGTATAGGTCGTGACAACCCCAAACTCATTCTCCCGATGGTGAGGATCGACGCTGTGCCCGTTGGGCCGAGCAGCCTTGTAGCCAACAGATGTAGATGCAGCGTGCTGCTCCGACTTGACCGGTGGCTCGGTGAAGATGGGCGGCTCGATGTGAGCGGCGACGGACTCGATCACCGACCGGTTCCAATACTTGTCGAGCTTGCCGATGCAAAGACGGAGGTCGTCGACGATGCCTTCGTGCTCTTGGTGACAGGAGGTGAGGTCGGAGGCAGCCTTCTCGATGTTGATGAGGCGTGCGTCCTGACGGAGCTCGGAGTTGATGATCCGCTGCTGGACCGCAGCGTCCGCCTCCCGGAAGCGCTTGTCCAGGGCTTCATCAGCTTCGAGGAATCACCGTTCGAGGAGGTCCTTCTGGTCAGAGAGTTGCTTCTGGATGGTAGCTTGGTCGGCAAACAGCTTCTGGATCTCCGCCAGCAGGAGCTGCGTGTCTGGATTCATGGTGTCGGGGTGTTTGGGTTTGCGGGTGTAGTAGCGGGTGATCGGCGGCTTGGGTGGGAGTGGTGGGGGCGACAGTGGTGGGGGTGAGAGATCCATATCGCGATTTGCTCCAATTCACTCACGGGGCTGGGGAATTACGGGCTCTCAGGCATCGCTCAGCAGTCGCTGTTCGTCGCCGAGAGAAATCCAACCGAGGCTGTTTGTGAATCGAAAGGAAGGGAAGAAATTGCGATCAACGGAATTGGCTCTGAGTACCAAATGTTAGCATCAGAGATCGGAGGGAATGGATCAGGTAGAATTGGGGAAGGATTGGGGAAGAAGAGAAGTAGGAGGGGAAAACACGCAAGATAGCTGGAGGAGGAAGCTTAGTATTGATTCGGTTCTGATTGTAATCCCCCTTCCCTCTATCTCTCTCTCGGTATTTATACAAGGCCTTGGCCTCGGCGTAAATCACACAGGCGCAGCTGTGTCTAGCCTAAGATTCATGCCCACTCGTGTCCACCGAATCGCACATTGGCGCGCCGGGCTCGGTCGCTTCTCCTTAGTTCTGGTACGCTCTGGTTCGAAGCGACCGCGACGCGTTCTGGTCCAGCGTTGTCCGCCTGGCTGGTGACTGCGTTGTGTTCCGCTCCCCTGGCGATGCTGACACCGCTCTACTAAGTCGTTTCTCACTCCGGCCTCCCACCAGAACCCGAATTTTTGCTGGGTTCGGTTCAAAAGCCTCAGTAGTGTTGTGTCCCACCGCAGTGGGTAGGCCAAGATACTTCTCACAGAGCCTCCAATTCAATGCATGTAGTTTGTTTCATCTCCCCCTTCATAGTGTCCTCATAGTTGGCACTGAAAAGATCGCGCTTTTGGATATGTTCACCATCTGACCAGAACTCTGGTAAGCGCGAAGAATGTTCGCAAGATGCCGCCCTTCGTGTTCACTCGCTTGAGTGAAGAGTAGGCAGTCGTCTGCAAACAGCACGTGTGAAACCCAGGGGATATGGATCCCCACCCGGACCCCCTTCGCTAGGAAATGAGGCCCTGGAAATTTCCGCAAGTTCGACAAACCTTCAGCAAAAATGAGGAATAAATAGGGGGATATCGGGTCACCTGTTTGATTCCAGGGGTTGGTGAGAATGTGTTCTATAGATGTCCATTCACCCTTACCGAAAACCTTACAATCTCCACACATTTCATGATCAAATTCACTAGGTTCGGATTGAAGCCCAGCTTGATTATAACGATGTGGAGATATTTCCACTCAACTCTGTCATAAGCTTTTACCATGTCCAGCTGGACCGCACAGGCACCAGTTTTGCCTTTCTTCTTTTTCAGGTAGTGAATATGTTCATATACCACCAGAACAGTGTCAGTGATGAGCCGGCCTAAAACAAAGGTCGATTGCTCCTCAGAGATTATATCATCCAGTACCCGCCTAAGCCGATGAGTGATCACCTTCAAGCAAATCTTGTACAAGACGTTGCACAAAGAAATCGGCCAGAATTGAAAGACAGCTCGTGCGGGTACTTCACTTTTGGGATAAGCACAAGCACCGTATTATTCACCACTTTCGGCATGTCTCCTCCATTGAGAAACTCTAGAACAGCCCTGCAGATATCGCCCCCAAGCAGGCTCCAATGTCTCTGATAAAAGCCAGCCATAAAGCCGTCAGGCCCTGGAGCTTTATTTGGCTTCATCATAAAAAGTGCTTCTTTGAACTCTTACTTGTATTAAGTACTCTAGGAGCACTACATTTGATGACGCCCAAAAAAAAGAAAAAAGAGAGCAATCGTTACACAACACGCGCATGCAAACAAGGCCGGAGGGTCGGAGTGTAAACTCTACACACATGCATGTATGCGTGTCGTCACAAATTAAAGGTCCTATTTAATTTTCTTGTAGCGAGAAATTAAATTAAGTTGCCCATTATCGCCAACCTACAGCTCTCGAGCAATGGCCTTGAGAGCGTCTTCAACATAGGGGTATCGGTAGGAGAAGCCCAGATCCTTTGCCTTCGCCGGAAGAACCTTTTGTCCTTCCAACACCTGCAGCGATCAAATTAAAAACCGGAATTTATAAGTCTAAGTACTCACATCACATTAAAACAAGGTTATGCAGGATTATTGTTATGACATGGCAAGAGTTAAAGAGAGCGAAGTTGTGTCTCTTCCGTAGGATATAGCTTGAGCTCAACATCTAAGACTAGAAATTAAAACAGTCCTCACATTTTGGGTCCGCTCTTAGTAGACATAAACACAGAAAAAATACTGTCTTAAGTGGCCTAGGAAACAAAAAAAATACAATACAAGAGTTATTTCCTCACATATATTTAATGTTATCCAAATCCAAGTGACATTGCAATCTTCCATCATGATACAATGCACAAAACAAAAAGCCTAAGGCTACTCCAATGTTATAACTCACATATTACATAACATCTTAGTGTAGTTTCTAAAAACTCCAAGGTAATTAAATGTTAAATATGCTGTATCTATGACAAGAGCCAAATCATGTACACATTTTATAGTCTTACACATTATAAGCCTAGGCTGCCCCTTCTCTCTTAATTTATGCAATGTCATAAAAAGTCCTAAGTACTTAAGTAGCACTCATTTAATATGGGTGGAGTCACTAACAATCCAAAAGTAGTAATCTATTCTGATCCACAAATAGCATACAAGTGTGATCTACATAGAAATAGTACTATTGGATACATGAGCACTATGTACGACGATGAGATGAGTGTTACCACAGAAGCGCCTTCTCCAAGCACCGCTTTAAGCGCGAATTCCGGCACAGGCAACCAGGATGGCCGCCCGACGATTCGCCCCAGCCGTTCGCATAGCTCCGACAAACGCACAGGATTGGGTGCAGTTCCATTTATTACACCTAATAAACAGAAAGTAAGGCTGCTCTCAATATACTACTACCATACAATACTACAATCTTCAATGTTCACAATTGCCACGTTACAGAAAGAGCATTCAAGTGGTGTGTACAAAATCCTGCAATAAAGTGTATCATGTATTCATATTGTTGTGCCCTGTCTCCAAAGTCAACTAGCACTACGCATTACTTGAATGCTACCACAATATGAATTTATTGCGGTATCGCATCATAAAGTGTATTGCATTCAAGTGATATCCATACCATTACCCTACAATTCATGAAATTCATAAGTTGTTTTGATATGCAATAGGTTGTTTGCATGGCTTCTAGCATGACTAGTCTGTAACAGAAGAGAAGGGGATCAGAGGATGTGCAGTGCAAATGAGATCACCTTTGTATGTAGGGTTCATTAGAGATTCGTAGATGAGGTTGACCAGGTCATCCAGATGAATCCAAGAAAACCTAGCAATCAGCCAATCAATTAATTGGTAGTTTGGTACAACATGCCGAAGTTGAATGTACTAACGATCAAATCCATCTGTCTGGAAACAGAATAACTAGGATCCCAGCGTATATACTATAAGTCTGTAACAGAAGAGAGAGAAGCAACCATTGGCGTCCCGTCCCCAGAGGACCACCGGCAAACATCATAAAAAGGGGGATCATCTTTGCTGCAGATGGACAGATGAATCAGGTGAATAACGCAGCGCAGATTGGAATGATCCTTGAAGAAGAAAACAAAAGGACAAGAGAAAAAAAGGCAAAAGGAATGAAATGAAACCCAGCAACCTAGAGCACCGCCGTCCTTGCCAAGAACAACCCCAATCCGGAGAAGCACAAGCCTAACATCCTCCTGGTTTACTTGGCATGCCGTGGCCTCCCATTCTCTGCACACCTGCATTTTTTTACCCATGTCATAGGGACACAGCACAGACTGTTGTAAGATGCATGTAAAATGATGGATGCATCATGCATTAGGAGCAATGATCTTTTATTGAAAGCATTATGACGCTCCAGGAGTGATGGAAAGTAGGCAATGTAAGCTGGAACTGGATGAACCTAACCTCTCCTAGGTAGTCATTGCCCGAGGGACTAGATTCATCAAAGCTATGGATTTCGCTGGTACCTGCAGCATGTATGCACGCAGTGGATTGATCGAAAACAATCGGTGCAGGTGTTTCTCTTTGACTACAGATGGATTATTAAAACGATGGATGCTAGTTCATCAGCCTCAGCAAGATCAAGCCAAGTGGCTAGTTCACGAACGACGTACCATAATAGCCAATGGCTGTCGCACTCACAAACACAGAGGGTCGAGTATCAGCGTTTCCAGCATGGTTGATGTACTTCACCACCTTCAGCAGTGAAATTAGGAACCATAATTATGTACTAGTTGAAATAGTTAGCTGCGGCAATCCAGGCGAAGTGAATTAGCATGCATGTTTTGAATTGTAGGGAGGGATGGGATGTACCTTTGATGTAACATTGACCCGGCTCTGTTTAATTTCCTGCTTAATCTGCGAAAGAGAAGGCAGCTAGTGTAGGCTGGACGACATAGAGACGGAGAGAAATGCATCGACTCATGGCAAAGATTAGAGCTATATATCTATCTCTACTGCAGACTGCAGATTTAAACAAACCAAACGGACCTCGGGTGACCATCTTGTGCTTATGGGCATGCCTGCCAGGTTGACAACAGCAGATGAGCCTCTGACGCATGCCTCCCAATCCCGTTGCTCGGCTATTGTGAGTCCAGGGTAGGTGGAAGCTGCGTGCGATGAATCAGGTCATGGATCAAAAATTTGGTTTCAGCAACGAGACAAATGAAGTTAGGGGCTCAACTGAACATCATTTATTATTTTATGGGATTTGTTAGCCGCCTGACAATAGTACTAGTACTAGTGTATATGCATGGTTGAATGCATCAGGAAATAATAATGATTGTTGAGTTGGATCTTTCCTTACCAGGAAAAACTGATGCAGCGTTGAAGGCGGACCTTGTTAAGACGCAAACCTTGTGACCATCTGAATGCAATGAATCATGTGTATGTATGTGATGAGAGAGAGAGAGAGAGTAGGCAGGCAATAAGTTAATCAGTAGTGAGTGAAGGAAGCAAGCAGACCCGATAGAAGCTTGTGAACCAATCTGCGTCCAATGAAACCTGTGGCTCCAGTGATGGAAACAGTCATGGGAGGCTGCTGAAAGCGATAATAAGCAAATTAACAGATATGTATATATGTATGATACTTACTATGTTTGGTTTGGTTTGCATCAGTAGGAACGTATGTATGTGTGTATGTATATATAACTAGACTAGTAATAATGTCCGTCTATTGATTGTAGGCAGAGATAGATTCATATGAGATACTACTACTCCAAGCTCAAGCTAGGACTGGATTATCAGTGTCAGTATACATACCACAGGCTCAGAGCTGAGGGCGCAGCGCAGGCGCACCAGCCTCCGCGATGTTACGATGCGAGGGCGAGGCTCCAGCTGCACTTGCATCTTCAGCTTCAGGTTGGGGGTGCTGGAGAAACCCATGGCAGCGGCAGCGCCCACCGGCAGCAGCAGGAGAAGCACAGGAAGGAGGAGGACTCCGACTCCGATCCGTTAGCTGGACCCCACTCCAATCTCCTCCCATGAATCATGAATGGTGGTGCCACCGCTTGCGTGGCCCGACCCCGCCCCGGCGAGAGGACACTGACAGGAGTCCGACTCCGCCTCGCCGCAGCCGCACCAGCACCACGAATCCAATCCAATCCATCCATCGTTGGCACCGCACCAGCCACCACAACGCTCGTCCTCTCCTCTCTCGTCACTGGTAATGCCATGGGCTGGGCTTGCAACACACCTCTCCTTTTTTTTTTTGAACTCAACACACCTCTACCTTGCCAGCCCAACAAGGGGTTTTTTTTTTTTGAATGAACGAAGCCCAACAGAGGCACTTTGTTTTATGGCGCAATTGACCGTTGTCCACCTTGGTTTCCTGCATAAGTGGCTATGGACTTTGTCTTAGGCTGCAGAGCGGGCGCAGAAAGAAGGCTGCATAGCTAGATACGTACTCCCTCCGTCCCACATTAAACGCACCTTTACCGTTCAAAATTTTTTCCAAAATAAACGGTCGCTATAGGGTCTCACAGTAGCTGGCAGCTGCAACTGGCTGTGGACCAAACCGATGAAATAAAAAATCGACATAAAAAATAGGAAAACTCTCTCGTCCACTCGTTCACCAGGCTTCCAGAACCCACTCCAGAACCCACTCCGTGGCTTCTTGCTCATCCCTTCCCCGTCTACAGCACTGGTGTGAGAGCGCTCCTTCCACCATCCACTCGTTCGCATGCGCATCTCTTCCTCCACCGCACCGTCCACTCGTCCCCCTTTCCCTCCCATTCGATCGATTGCGTCCGGCTGCGTAGAAATTTGGGCCCCGTCGGCGCTTGACGCCGTGCCGAAAGGTGCAGGCCCCGTCGTAGCGACGCCACCATTGTCTGAGGGCTTCCCGACGCCACCGCCACGGACGGCTCTGCTTCTGTTGTCAGCAGAGAGGTCGGAGCATCGCCCAGCGTCACCTGCGCAGGAGTTTTCGTGCGACCATCGCAGCAGCGCAATTTGGACCTCGCCGGCGCGCCATGCACACGGTTCCACGCCGCCGTCAGCGTGATGGTCGGACCTCGCAACACCACCACATGGGCTCGGCTCCGCCTATGGAGCCCGGCCCGACCGCTTGCAACAGCGCGATTGGCGCTTGACGCGAGGGGCTCGGCTCCGGCCGGCGAGAGCCACGGCGAACGTGGGTGCTTGTGGCGGAAAAGAGCTCGTCCTCGTCGGCACGGAAGACGGAGGCAACGCCGACGCGTCGATGGTGGCATCGCGACTGGACGCCCACGGTGGCTGGGGGGGTGACGCGCAGCGGCGCCGTGAGAGAAGCAGAGAGAGCTGAGCGAGAGCGAGTGGAGTGGTGTGGTGGGACGGGTCACGGGAGGATGTATTGGGGCTAATATTTGCAAGGGCATTTCTGTAATTTCACATACATATTGGTTTACGTGTCCAGGGCTAGACGTGTAAATATTATTGGACGGAGGGAGTAGGATTTTAGTCATACAGTGGGATGCAGACTGGGCTTGCTCTGAGGATAGTGCTAGCCTGCATATGAGCCTGTACATGTCACCAAACAAGGACAAACTGTATTGCGGGGGCTAGATAAGGGGTTACGAAAGCAACCAGACCCTAAATAGAGCAGTAAAGCACCGGAAAGCCTTTCCTTTCGGCTGCCGTACTCCCTCCCGTTCCTCCCATTATTACCGATGACTTTGATGAGTGGAAACACAGCACAGCTTCACAACTCAAGCAGCTAGCTAGCACAGCCGCCACCCCCTTCCGTTCCGCAGCAGAATGCGGCGAATCTGCATCTCCAACTCCAAGCTTGTGTTTCTCCTGCTGCTCTGCGCCAGGATGCTGCCGGCGGGCGTATCCTCTGCAAAGATCCATGGTAAAATCAATCAATATCGAATCTCAGAGGCCTTGGGTGTGCTCAAATTGATTTGCCAGTGCTTGTGCTTGCTCAAATTGATGGCGATGGCGGTGGTGGCAGGGAACCCAGCCAACGACCTTGTGGCCCTCATCAACGGCAAGAGGGCGGCGAGCAAGCTGCCTGCGCTGCGCAACAGCAGAGGCCTCGGGTGCATGGCGCTGCAGTACATCTCCGAGTGCATGGCCGCCGCCGCCTGCAGCAGCGGCAACACGGTGGCGTGCCAGCCCCCCGAGGCCCACATCACGGAGGTCTACGCCGCCAACTGCGGCGTGGAACTCCCCACGGTGGACGTCATCTCCGGCCGCCTCGTCGGCTGCCACCGGGACCGCGACGGCCCGGAGGACGCGGTGCAGGCCGTGCTGGCATCAGCCAACGGCAACAGCACCAATGCCACCGCCACGGCCACCGAGGCGGCCGCGCTGGCGGTGATCCGCGGCAAGGAGCACACCCAGGTGGGCGCCGGCTTCGACCGCGCGCACCGCCGCGGGCCCTTCTTCTGGTGCCTCCTCTTCAGCAGCGGCAGCGCCAACTCCACCTTCCTGCTGGAGGCCGGCGGCAAGGGCATCGACCAGACCCATGGCTGCTTCAGCGCTCCAGATCGCCCCTCGTGCAACGCCGCGCCGCCGCGCCCCGGACAGCTCATGTTCACCATTGCCGTTGCCGCAGCGGCTGCGCTGCTCTTCCGTTGCCTTGTCTCCTAACCTAACTACTCCGTCGTTCGTAATACTAGCTTATTTGCTTTGGGTTTTTTTTATCGAATCCATTACAATTCTTCAAGTTTGGAGAAGTGTCATTACAATTCGGATATTGTGAAACTTGCCATTACAATTCTGGGCTTCCCTGCTTGCCATTTTCTACATATCCGAGCTGGAATTTCAGTATACAAATGTTCATCATCAAATCCAACATCCTCTTCAGGATTATCAAAGATATCATGCTCCCTTTCAGGCTCTACATCAACCTCATGTTCATCTTCAGTAGCAGCTGCCTCAAGATTCTTAGCAGCAGCGGTACTGGGTTCCCCTTCAGCCCCTAACTCAACAGCTGCCTATGGATTTTCAGGAGCAGCACTACTTGGTTCATTGGGAATGGTAAAACCATTGTCAGGAGGAATCACAGATAAAGGCTGAGCATCATCACAAACTGACTTATCAAACACTCCCACTACAAGCTGACAACCCATCTCTTCCTTGTACATTTCAAAGACATCAAGCATATGAATTTCACTAACTAATCTGACATCCTCGTGCAGTCTTTTGTCAAGGAACCACACTATGGGTAACTGGTTAGAGGGCACATTCAATTCATTTGCAATATTTGACATCAACAGCTCAAGTGTCAAAGACCCAAACTCCACATCCCACTTAATCACAGTGCCTTTGGTGTATGATTTCCTACCATCTGAGTCTTTTGTAGCGAAACCTTGGACTTTAACCTCTACCGCGAACATACCATTCCTACCAACAATCAAATCGAACCCCAAATCGAAGTGTAAATAGGCAACCACAAGTCAACTACACTACATGCTCACACCGAGAACAGGGATGCGCACAAATTACCTGCTTTTGTAGTCCTCCATCTCCGCCGCAGCACTACGGTGCAGATGCAGGAAGACCCTACACGTCGTCTTCACGGATCCTGCATCTCCTCCGCTGGATGCGCCGACCAGAGCCTTGAGAACACAAAGCGCTGCCACCACTGTCGTAGCTTGGCAGCTCGCCGTCGCAGTCGTCTCCGGTGGGGGCTAAAGTCTAGGGTTAGGGTTCTTCAATGAATAAAGGGAGACGGAGAGGAGCGCGGGTGGGGAACGAAATGAGACGGATAGGAGCCGCGGCGGCTTGTAACACGCAGGTAGGGGCATCCGCGTCCATACACAAGTCGCGTAAGCGTACCTCAGCTTGACAGTGGGCCCAAGCAGCTCGGATACGTAGAAAATGGCGAGTAGCAGGGAGACCCAGAATTGTAATGGCAAGTTTCACAATACCCGAATTGTAATGGCACTTCTCCAAACTTGAAGAATTGTAATGGCTTCGATCCCAAAAAAAAAAACCTATTAGCTTTCAGTTCAATTCATGCTGGAACGCTGGATGATGATGATGGCAATCCCTATCCCTATATATAATGTAATATTGTAGTCTCCTGTCCTGCAAATCTCGGTCCAATGTCATATGAATGAATTATTCCCTTTTCATTCCTGGAACTGGAATTCTATTCTGTTGTATTCTATTCACCCCCGAATTGTTCCTCTCAACGCACACCATCCTAAAATACCAAGACAGATTTCATTCTTCACCGCCATCACAAAACAAAGCACTTATCCAAACAAGCACAACGCACACCCAACCATCTGCACTGACTCAGCTAATCAAGAACTGAAAGCTAGAGCCCAGTTTTAGCATCCTGCTAGTATATAATAGCAATTTCACCGATAAATTTTGTCTTGTCCATACGACTCGACTCCACACAATACAGTAGGACAAGGATCCTAAAAGACCACAAAACCACCGCAAGACACGAGCCTACATCTCCCTTGTGCATGCTGGTGGGCATGATCAGGCGAAATTATACAGCAAGGAGGAGATGGTTATCCTTGGCAGCAGCGCAGCCAGAGACTGCAAAAGAAGTTGCCGAGGATCTGATTAGTCTACCGTTTATAGTTACAAAATGGTGCATCCCTTCTGCGCCTTCTTCTTCTTCTTCTTTTGCTTCGGAGGCTGGAGAACCACCTTAATGGCCGCGTCAAACACTGCTTTTATGTTCTGGAGGTGCAAAGCAGCAGCAGTCAGTAACCATAAACACAGCAAATGGGGAGCTCAATGCTGAATCTAGTGCGGGGGAAAAGAAAAAGAATCACAGCACTTGTTGGGTTTTTGAACTGCATTCGATGTAGGCAGCTGCACCAATTAGCTTCCTCAGCTCTTCGCCCTGCAGAGACAGTGAAACAACGGTCACCTTAAATGACACTATGAACACAAACCGACAAGTGAAAGAAGATAGTTCTTAGCATACCTGGGCAGTGGAAATTGGAACTGCGCCAGGGTGATCAACGAAAAACTGCTTATCATCTCGCAGATCTGTTACAAGTAACTGAATGGTTAAGCAACATTAACTTATACCTAAAAAGCAAAAAATCAGTAGTAACCCAAAAAACAGTCAAAACTAAAAGAACAAAGATCCATTGACTAGCTATGAGGTTATTAAAATAAGATTATCTTGAGCAGTCACTGCGGCATCTAGGCACAATCGAATCGCATATTTTCAGACACATTTGCTCACAAAATATACCCGCATTCACATGCTAGTCAGGCCTGGTTCTGCAAAATTAAGTTGTTAAAACAACCTTCATGTTACATGTTTCTCTTATACCTTTGTTTAATATGTTCTCTAAAAACTAAGTTGTGGTCATGTGTATTTCTCAATACAATAAACGACTTCAACGTAGTTCAGCCATGTCATAGAAGACAATAACTAACCCAGTGTTCGCATTTTGTCTAATTCCCAACAAGCTCGCTATCTTGCAATCATGTGATCTAATCAAAGACACTAGGCAATGATGCCTCTGCAAAATCAAATAGCTTGTATTTCCTTTCTACCATGATTGTATATATTTCCACATATATATAGCAGTACAGACTTACCACTAAAGTTGATCTTCTAGAATATCATTTTGGTTCTTAAGAGGTTTCCCGCTGCTTTCCTTAATACGGAAGGGGATATTGGCATCAAATGGCTTGACATGAATAACATATGCAATAAAGGAACCATGATTTGAGATTGCTTAAATCATAAGCAAGTGGTGAGCCAAAATTTCACGGTACATGTGAAGATCAATTCAGTTTGCGTGGCACAAGATTTCACATGTGTATTTCAGATAATTTTGGCAATGCAACTGGCAACGAATGAGAATGAAAGGCCAATTCTGGAGGAACATAATATGCTGCAGATAGAGGTGGAGACTGAAGAGCATACCCAGTTTTGTCCCAACAAGGATTATGGGCACGCCAGGGGCATAGTGCCTTAATTCAGGAACCCACTGGAAAAGGAGACATGAACAGGTCATATGCAAGAAAATGCAAGTCAAGAAGCTAAAATAAATAAGAATTATTAAATGAGGGAGGAAGGAAAGTGGGCAGAGCAAAATAATTGCCTTCTTAGAGACATTCTCGTAGCTTGCTTTGCTGATAAGAGAAAAGGCGAGCAGGAAAACATCAGCACCACGATAGCTCAACGGGCGCAGTCTATTATAATCTTCTTGTCCTGTAAATTTCATAGAATGTCAGTTACAGTACCTTGGAGCCGGAAGGAGCGCAGATGCAAAGAAGGATGTTAATGCCAAGGGAAGAGACCTGCTGTATCCCACAGACCCAAATTGACGGTGCTCCCGTCGACCACAACATTGGCACTGAAGTTGTCGAACACAGTTGGAACATAGTCCTGCAACATTGAGATGCGCCTTGTAGACATAAGCAACTGCATAATATTGTAGCCAAGACAACTCAAACGAACAAACCCTCGTCCCGTTAGCTGTCTGTGGGCACAGTTTGGCCGGGAACGATAATTAGCGATTCTATGTGGCTCTGATCTCACTAGTCACAACAACCGAGGGAACGAAAAAAGAACAGGGAAAAAACAGACACTCCTATACTTTGTGCCTCCCAAAATAGATAAGAGGGGACATCGAGGTCAGCTATGGGTATGGTAGGATTGTGTTGGCATGATTCCCATTCTCTTTCCCCTCCTAAAAAATTAACAGGAGTAGGTTTCTATGTCTATTTGTCGGGAGCAGTAGCTGAGCTGTATCTAGATGACGATAAGCTAGAGATCAATGTGCGGAAGAACAAAGAAGATGAATTCCGCTCGTTTATCCCCTCCCTTGAGTCCCTGTGTGAGCAGGGGGGAGCCGATTTAGCGCCAGTGAGCGAAGGAAGAAAGAATCTGAAGCTGTCAAAAGAAAAGAAAAGAAAAGAATCAACTCACAGTGGGGAAAGTGTTGGAGGTGTAGGAGATGAGCATGCAGGTCTTTCCGACGGCACCGTCCCCCACGGTGACGCACTTGATGAACCGAGACGCGCTCATCGGTGGAGTAGATGTAGATCTACTCTTCTCCTCCTTGTTTCTTGTCCTTGGGCTCCTCCGGGCGCCTCAGGCCACAGTTGACCACCGCCTTTCTTATCCTCCTCGGTCCCTCGGGAGGGAGGGATGGAGGTAGCCGCCGGCCCGGCCGTCCTGAGAGCTGGTCTCCTGCGATGTCTCACCTGCCAGCTGACTCCCGTCTCAGTGGTGTCTCGTCTCTCCCAGTCTCCCCTTCTCTAGGTGGTGGTGGGTGACCTGGTGAGGTGGGGCTCTCCCCTGCTGCGTGTTGGGGCTGGACGTATGGTGACGGAGACGAGAGATGGAAGAGCATCCCAGCCCATCCAGGCCCAGAGCTGAGCCCAAAACTATTGACGACTGTTCTTTACTATTTATTTTGACTAGATAGTGTGCCCGTGCATTGCTACGGGATAACTAACAATTTATATTAAAAACACACGGATCGCACGATAAGATAACAATACTGTTAAATTAAATACCAACGTTAAGGTGACATTTAATTAAAAAGCAAAGTTTATGAATTTAACACAGTCACGGAGTGCGCGGCGTTGCAGGCTCACAAACTCTAGAGCTTCTAGAGATTGGGTTGAATCTAACCTATAGCCTCGAAACCCTGCATCTTTTCCTGGACGGGCTTCACTTCGGATGCGCCGGTAGCAATATCAACGATCTTCAATCGATGGATCAAGTCGTATGGATCCCCATACAATATCTCAGACATATAGATTTTGTTCTTCTTGTACTTGGATACACTTGTTCCACTGAAGCTTTCATTGAAATATTTAGACATGAACAATGTCTGGTCACCAATGTCCCTCACCGTGGACCACTTCGGCTTACGGTCATGGAGGTTGCACTTGTAGATCGTGCTGTTGTAGGTGAAGCTCTGTGTCTCGTAGAACGTGCTCACCATGGCACCCACAATGTGCAGCTCACCGTTTGATTCTAGATAGCTGCGGTGGCAGAGCCCCGCACGTGGCGACAACGATGGCAGCAGCGTCGTGGTTAGAGTAGCGTCGATGGCGTTGCTGTTGTAGACGAAGATTTCTCCAATGTAGTCGATCGTCGACAACTTGTCTTGGCAGTGGACGATGGACCCCACGGAGAACTCCAGTTTGTTGTCGAGCAGCATCCATGCGCTGTCGACTCCAACCCGGCAGAACGCAACCTCCGTGGAGCACCCAAGCATGGCCATGGCCACGCACTCGTGGCCAGTGGCGTCAGGCGGCGCTGAGAGCACGATCTCACGGAAGAACATGTCCCTCATGTCTTCTAGCTTGATGGCTCTGCCTACGGCATCCGCGTCCCCGTAGCCGTTGGTGGGATGGAGGACCCACCGACCGTGGACCCTAGACACGCATTCCAATGAGGACGCCGCCGCGACATGTTCGCCTGCTGGCGGGAGCTCAACGCGGGGGGCACGGGCACCAGCGAATGGATTCAGCAGCGTCACGGACGTCGCCTCGTCCATGAGCGCTAGCCACCCACACGAGGAGCCACACGCCACCTTGCCGCGCATGTCGGGTAGCGTCTTGGACAAGACCTTCTTCTCTGGGACATAGTAGAAGCCGACGCGGTCCAAGTCGAGGTCGAACGGGAGCGGCCCGAAGGTCGCGAACGGGACGGCGGCGCACCATGGGGAGCAAGCGGATCAGAAGGACGCCGCGTCGTGGCCTGACCGAGACGCTGCCCGATGGACTCGAGGAGATTCTTTGGCAGGCCGGATCTCCAGTCAGGGAGAGGTAGGGACCTTCTCTTGGGATTGGGAGACTGAGCCATGAAAGACAAATGACATCAACTATGGTTCACGCAAGAAATAGCAAGCGAGGGCGATGGAACACGTGAGCGTGAAACCAAATGAAAGGAGGAAAAGTTGTCCCTTTTGCAAATGCAAAGAGGGGAAGTAGTTAAATGTAGATAGATTTGACAAGGTTCTCAGAAATGCAAAGATGTTCCTTTTGTCTTAATTCTCTTTCCTTCTGTGTTAATTCTCTTTCCTTTTGCTTGTTGCCATGTATGCTGGTGCATGCAAATATGCAATGTGTATATGGATAGCACAATAATTTTCTACTTCCTCTATCACATGACAGGCAATATTCAATCAAGGAGAATGGCACGATCAATCAGTAATTAAGATGTCGTGGTATCGCAGGCGTAGGTAGACGGACGAACCAAAATAAATGTCGCACAAAAAAATATCCACACTTTGTTCTTTTTAGTTGTAGGAGATTCAACACCACATTGGATCTTAGTAGTGCTTTCAGTGTGGTTTTGTCGGATGGTTTGCCGGGACAAAACTATGCAAAACAATCAAACAACAACACATTGCATATATTTTTTCGGAAATGCTCGGTGTAGGGCTCCTCGCTAGGCCTGCGGCCTCCTTGGTGGGCTTTCGGACGGGCGGCCCAGACACCCCCACGCAACGGCATCAGCTGTTCCCCACTCGTGATGAGTTTCTGAATCGACATTTCCCCTCACTCGACCGCGGTCGTGGCCGCGTCCACCTCGCCGCGCGGCGCCTCCACTGCGCCATCCGCCTGCCGCATCGGCCTCCACTGCGCCACCCGCCTCCAGCACGACGCCAGCCTTTCCCGCTCACCGTACGCCCCCATCGCGGTGTCTACCTGCCGCGCCCGGTACACCATGCCGCTCCACTCAACCCTGACCTTCGCTGATCATCTCCACCGTCCCATCCTCCCACCGTGACTACCTGCATCACGCGGCCCGCATTCATAGGGATTGCGATGGTTGCCTATCACCCCAACCCTAGCGGTGCAGGTACGACACCGGTTGCCTGCCTCCCACCCGCTCCTCCTTCTCCACCGCGACCAAACACCGGTTCCGAGTGATGCATACAAGATCAGGCCGGGATGTGTCGCCCGTCAGGGGCGACTCGCCCAGCAGCACTAACGAGGAGGTAGATGATGGGCAGGGACGTGGTCGTGGGCGTTTGGCAGTGACGAAGGTCCCCAACAGCAGGGCATGAGGGGGGCTGACAGTGAGCAAGGTCCCTAACAGCAAGGCAGGACAAGCATCTTCGAGCAAAGGATGAAGCAACATCTCTGTGAAGAAATCTCCAATGAAGAAGGTCCTGAACCAGGAAGGTATGGCATTGAACTTGTAGCTCCTGGGTACCTGAAGCTTCTCATATGCACATTTTCAAATTTCGTAAATGCAATACACAGGATGATAGTGTGTTCAATGAATGTTGGTGGTGCTTGCTAGGCAGTAGATGCATATGTCCAATGACTGCAAATATTGAAGGAATATAATTGAAATCTTGAGATCAGACATGCCATTACTCTTTACTGCATCTCCAATGGATTTTCTATTTATCGTATATGATCAAATGTATGTTGATTCCTGCTAGGGCTAGTGTTGGATAGCAACTTTGAACATGTATGCTGATTCCTGCTAGGGTTAGTGTTGGATAAAAACTTTGATAAATGTTTCATTATGCTGTCCTGCGTTGTTTCACCATGATATGTCCTGTGTTTCATGCCTTCTTCATATTTTTTTGAAACAATCAGCTATAGGACGTCTATATATTGGCATGTTTCATTTTTTAAACGTGATGTGTTATTGGCGCATCTATGTTGTCCACCTACGTGTTAGAACATGTAGCAACATGTGTCTACTTTTTTTTATGCATTATTATGAACTGTATACCCCAATTTTTGGATTTGATTTTAATATGTTGTTTCTTTGTCTTTTTTACGTAGGAATTAATGCTCCCAAAACCAAAGGCAAAGGCAATAGAGACCCCTTCACAACAAGATTTTCAGTCCATAGGATCCGTGACCACGAGTTCAGTCAAGATCAAATAGGGTGGATTGAAGAGGCTGGTTTTGGTGCTTTACTTGCCATGTCTGAGTTTTCCATCCCTGTGAAGCTCGTTGCATGGATCATGAAGCACATTGATGTTGATTTGAGAGAGTTTAGGCTCAAACATAAAGTCATTGTATTTGACAAGCAGCTTGTTTGCAACATTCTTGGTGTGCCTAGCGAAGAAGAGCTTGTTAAGCTTACTTCCACCGTCGATCAATATGAAGCATTCCAGAAGATTCGGGAGCCTTTTATGGATGGATTCAAAGGAAAGTGGCCTAAGTGCATGGAGGTGTTGACTAAACCTAAGGACAAAGACTCTTTTATGAGGGCATTCATGTTGCTTGCCTTAGGGTCTGTACTCTGCCTAGGAACAGATAATGCAACCACCCCACGGTACTTATACAACTTACAGGATGTCTCTAAAATCAAATCATTTGACTGGGCTAGGCACATCCTTGATGAGTTGATGAATCAAGTCTAAAAGTACTAGACCCATGATCCTGAAGCTGAAGGTGTTGCCGCAAGCCCCTACCTTGGATCCTACCTTGCTGTTTTGGTGGTGTGTTCATTTTTTCCTTGTCTTATATTCTTTTCTGTAGTCCCATTGCAATAACTTTGCTAATCTATTTCATTGGTACCACCTCATGTGTTGCAATAGCTATCTATATATGTTTCAGTACATAAGTTTCCATATACTTCAGCCCTGATTTTCTACTGTTTCATCGGTACTACCTCATGTGTTGCAGTAGCTATCTATATTTGTTTTAGTACATATGTTTCCATATACTTCAGCCTTGATTTTCTACCATTTCATTGCTACTACCTCATGTGTTGTAGTAGCTATCTATGTATATTTCAGTACATGTGCTTCCATATACTTCAGCCCTGGTTTTCTACTGTTTCATTGCTACTACCTCAGGTGTTGCAGTAGCTATCTATACATGTTTCATTACAAGTGCTTCCATATACTACAGCCCCAATTTACTAAATGTTGGGCATTCATGTTTTTTTGGTTGTATGTAGATTGTGTACATGGACCACCTTGACATACCTGCTGACCGGGCTACTCACAAGATCAATTATTCTGTCCCACGCATTTTCCAGGTCACCAACAACGACTTTGAATTCGTTGAAAGTGTTGACAGGAGTAGGCT